GCAGGATGGGGTGCAGGATGGGATGCAGGATGGGGTGCAGGCTGGGTGCAGGATGGGATGCAGGATGGGGTGCAGACTGGATGCAGGATGGGGTGCAGGATGGGATGCAGGATGGGGTGCAGGCTGGGGCCGGCTGCCGCCGCCCGGGACCTGAGGACACCGTGATTCCCACGCGGCCGGGAAATCTCCGGCAGGATCCGCAGCGCCTCCGGCCCCGGGCTGGGCTCAGGCTCCGCCTTGCGCTGCTGGCTCCGGGCGCTGCCGGCTGCGCTGCCTGTCGGGGCAGGGCCATCCCTCCCCTGCTGCAGAGCCACAGCGCTGCTGCCGCTCACCGGCACACACAACACCGTGGGAACCCCTGCGGACACGGGCACAGCGGGATCGGTGACGAGGGAGCCTCGGGGTGCCAGTGGGGGGCTTTGGAGCTTTGGGGGATGCTGGTTTAGGGGTCCTGGTTTAGGGTGACTGGCAAAGCTCTGCGCAGGATTCGTGCCCTCCTGTGCCCTGTGGGGTCCCACAAATCAAAGCAACATCAGGTTAAGAGGCTGGAAGTCCTGTTTAGGGACAATTTTGGTACAGGGAATTGAGGCCCCCAGCATTCCCCAACAGCCCAAGGACATCCCAGGGTGAGACAATGTCCAGCAGCACGGCTGTGTCACCATGCCAGGTTCAGTGCCCTGCTGAGGGGTCCCTGCTGCAGCAGCACATCTCCAGTCCCTTTTTAAAACTGGGACCCGGCCACATCCATCTGTCCCCGTGTCACTGTCGCTCAGGCAGAACTCCCTGTGGCACGGATCCCTCGGGCACAGCCTCATCCATCCCCTGTCCTGCAGGAGAGGCCTGGGGTCCCCACCAGTGCACCAAGGTCCTGCACGTGTCAGCCGAATGAAGGGTGGTGGGGCCCCAGGCACGGATGTCACCTTCCGCCTCGTCTGAAGCGCCAGGGGCTGGCTCTGCCTGTGTCCCTTGCTGTGCCAAGGGGAGGTGGCTGTGCCAGCCCAGCTCCTGCGGTGCCTCTGTCCTGCCCCGGCACGGGGAGAGCCAGCGCCAGCGCCGGCCTCTCCAGGGCCACTGTCCTGGTCCCCGGGCTGCACAGCGGTGACCTCATTTGCCCGCAGGGATCCCGTTCTCCCCAGCACCTGCCGAGCCGAGGGCCATCTCCATCCGACTCCTGGGAAGCTGCGATTCCCTGGGCTGTCCCCCCGGGGCTGTGTCCAGCTGCACCACTGCAGAGAGAAGGCTCCTGTCACCTGTGGGAGCTGGGACATGGGGTGTCTTGAGGGGACTGGGGCCAGACACCATCCCCACCCCATCCCACGTGCAAGATGGCAAAGGGTCCCTCGGGCCACCCCAGACAGAGGGAGGATGTTAGAAAGTCCCTGTCATACAGAGAGAGACACAGAGGGATACAGAGATGAAACCTATGGTGCACCCCAGCCAGTGCAGGGGGACACGGGAACATCAACCTGCAGACCCACCCCGGTCCATGGGACCCCCTTCGTGATTCCCCAAACCACTCAGGAACGGGAACCTGTGGCCAGGGACCTCATCCAGGGCTGGCTCCGCTCCCTGAGCCGGGGTGGCTCCGGTACCTGCTCTGCAGCTGTGCCGGGCGCGCACCTCCTGCATCGCCTGCTGGTTCTTGAAGCGCACCAGCCCCATGGTGATCTCGGCGTTCCAGCCTGGGTCCTCCTGGGCACAGCGAAAGTCGATCTCGAGGCTGTCGTCCATCACCACCGTGAAGTAAATGTGCCGCTCCTTCCACTCCACGCACTCCACGGCCTTCATGCGGGCGAAGCTCAGCTCCTTGCGCCGCGAGCCCTTGGGCTCGAAGAGCTGCAGCCCCTGCTCCGTCAGCAGGCACCGCTTCTTCTTCCAGAGCTGCAGCAGCCCCCCGCTCCGCTTCTCCAGCACCCCCTCCCTCAGCACCTTCTCGGGGGTCATCGCTGCTCCTCGGCCCCCCGGGATCCTCAGCACCTCGTGCGGGCCCGGCCGGGCATTACCCGCGGGGGGAACCGCAGCCGCTCCGCTCCGGAGCCGAGCTCCCCGGGGCCGGGGCCGCCGGCTGCCGTGCCGCCCCCGGGACTCCCGCTCGGGCTCTCAGAGGGGCCGAGCCGTGCGGAGCCCCATTCCGGCCGCCAGCCCCGAGCCGGGGCTCCGCTCCCCGCCCGAGCCGCGTGTGGGATCCGCGATGCCGGGAGCTGTCGCTACTTGCCCGGCCGCTCTCCCACTCGCATTCCTGCCGCCTCGCCTGGCCCCTCCTGCGCCCCGGCTCCCTTCACGCCCAGGCGAAGCCCGGCCAGGCCCGGCGCAGCCCCGCTTCGCCCGGGAGGAGCTTTTGGGGTGCCCGAGGGCAGGCGTTGCCTCAGGGTCTCCGTGTGAACAGGCAGGGTGTGGGAGGGGGCTGCATGGCAGGGGTGCAGGGTGTGGGATGCATGGCAGGGCTGCAGGGTGTGGGATGCATGGCAGGGATGCAGGGTGTGGGATGCATGGCAGGGGTGCAGGGTGTGGGATGGGCTCGGGGACTTGTGCACGACAGCCCAGGGTGCAGGGACAGATGTTGGAGGTGCAAGAGCAGCTCTGGGGGGTGCAGGGACAGATGTTGGGGGTGCAGCCCCACGGGCACAGGGCTATAGGGTGCAGGGCTGTGGGGCACAGTGAGCTGTGGGGCACAGGGCCGACCGGGCAGAGGGCTCTGTGTAAAATGCCACCAGGCAGGGGTACAGAGTGCAGTGCCACCGGGCTAGGGGGGCTCTGGAGGTTGCAGTGCCAGCCAAGAAGGCAAAATGGGCTGTAGTGCCAGGGCAAAGGCTTCCGGGGTGCAGTGGCATCTGGGACAGCAGGCTGTGTGTGCAGCACCAGCCGGGCAGCGGCTCTGGGGACCCCGAGTGCAGCCCAGGAGGGGAGACAAAAGCAGAGAACAGACAACAGCAATGGGGACAATCCCTGACAGCCACCCACCCACCCAGCCACTAATCCAAGGGTGCTGGGCCATCCCTCAGCACACAGAGCTCCCACCACCAAAGCCCCTGGGGCGGGGATCTGAAGTCCCAGCAAGAAACAGAATCCCGCAGTTCGTGTGAGCTGTACAGGGGGAAGGAGCCGTGGAGCGGGGCCGGGGCAGCGCAGCCCGGTCCTGCCTGATCCTCCCTCCCCTGCAGCCAAACACCGGCTCCTTTCCAGCCCGTCTGTTCCTGTGCCAGCGCCTGGCACCGAGGGCTTCCCCGGGCCGGGCCCGGCTGCGGAGGGCACAGCCGGGGGCTTGTGCTGGCCGTGCGCTGCCAGGGCGGGGGACGGTCACAGGTGGCCGGGCAGCTGAATGTGCCCCTGCAAACGTGAGAGTGTGGGTCCTTCACCCAGGTGAGGTCTGCAATGGGAAGAAATCCCCCCGGGAATGTGCCGGGGTCACTGAAGGGGGCTGGATCAGCAGTGCTCCCAGCCGCTGTCCCAGAGCCCACCCTGCTCACGGACCCCTCACAGAGCCCGACCCCCGGCCGGGGTCCCTCCTGCCCCAGCCCCTTCAGCACTCCCGGTCCCTGCCGGGGGCTTTGCCGGCAGCCGCCGTGGCCAGGGGGCAAGTCTGCAGCGCTGATGAGATGCAGCTCATTATCTCTCATTAAGAGGGCAGGGCGGCTGGCGGAGCCAGGAACTGGTTCGTGCTCCCTGGGGCCAAGCTCGGCACGCTGGCAGAGATCCCGGGTGTCCCGGGAGAGCCGGCTCCCGACGTCAGGCGGCCCCGCAGGTCACCCTGAGCACCCCAGCACTTCAGAAGGAGCACAGCAAATGTGTGGGTTCCCCCACCAAGGCTGTTTTCCCACGCGCGGGTAGCGCTCAGCTCCGGGGGTGCTGAGCCCTGGGAGCTCTGGGAGCTCGGGGGTTGTAGTTTTGGTAAGCTGGGATGTCCGTGGGCAGCTCTGGCTCACCATCCAGCTCCAGCTCCATCCTCACAGCCCGGGGGAGAGCCAAGGGCTGCCAACCCCTGCCTGAGACCTCCCCCTGCTCTCTGTGCTCACTGCTTCCACCAGCCACCGAGGAAAGGCGATGGTCCCGCAGCCCTGTGTGTGTGAAGGAGTTTGGCAATGTCCTTCTCCACTCCCATGTCCCCAGCTGCCCATTCCCAGACACACCAGGCAGGGGTCTCATCCTGCCAGGCTGCCCGGGGGGCACAGGGCAGCTCCTGCCCTGCAGCAAAGCCAGCAGGACTCGCTGTGCCAGGCTGTGGGTGAGCTGAGGGCTCTGCTCCATGGGCTCATCCCATCCCCACAGGCCCCTCGGGGCAGGTCACAGTGCTGCCAGGCTCAGCCCTGCCCCGAGGTGACATCCCCACACAGCTCGGTGACAGGGTGACATCCCCTCACAGCCCTGCTGGCCACGGGGCTCGGAGGCTCCAGTCTGACCCCTCAAGTGGTGCCATCACCTCCAGGCTCCAGGGTGCTTGGCCACGAGTCAGCCCCTGGTTTGTCCCTTCAGGGACAGGTTTGGGTGCCACAGCCCCTTCCCCAGGCTGCAGCCCCCACAGCTCTGCTGCCTCCAGGGGAAGCTGGACAACACCTGGACACAGGTGAGCAGACACATCTGGCTGGGCCCTGCTGTGCTCACTGATCAGCAGAGGGTAGCAGATGGTCGGAGCTGTCCCACTGCAACTCGGGCAGGAAACGCCCACAAAGCACCTCTAGTCCCACGCTGCTTCTCCTGGGCCATGTCCCACCACCTCCTCCAGCCCCCCTCATGGCTCTGTCGAGATGTGCAGCCCCCATAATCCCATCCTGGTGTCCCCATGGTGGTCTCTGTCACCCCCTAAGCCACTGAGTGACCAGTCAGCAGGTGTGTGGCAGCCAGGGCAAACCCTCAGGGCATGGTCCCTGTCCTGGGCCATGGTCTACCCGACACCTTTGGGGCTGGGAGTTCAGCAGAGACCCACCAGGCAGGAAAAAAGAGGACCTGGGGAGGCTGAACTTCAGTTTTCCATGGTCTAGAGAAGGGCTGTGGAGAAGGGAGACACGGCCCTACCTGGCAAAAGGACACGAGACACCAGGCACAGGGGCACAAGAGGAGAATCAGGGATTCACAGCATCATTAATGTTGGAAAAGCCCTCCCAGGTGCCAGGATCATCAGTCCCAACCACTCCCCCAGCACTGTTCACCACTAACCCATTTCCCCACATGCCACATCCACAGGTCTTCTCAACACCCCCAGGGATGGTGACTCCACTACTGCCCTGGGCAGCTGTGCCAGGGCCTGATCACCCTTTCAGTGATGAAACAACCCTTTCAAGAGTTGTGTGGCACAGTGCTGTGACAGGACCCACAGTGCTGGGACCTCCATCCTTAGAGAGCTCCTGTACCTGAGTGGACACCAAATGTTCTGATCAACCTGACCTTTGGAGCCCTGCCTTAATTAAGCAGGAGCTTGAAGTTAAGACTTCTGCTGGTCCCTTCTAACCAACATCTTTCAGTGGCCCTCTGAAACCCAAATCCAGCATTTTCTCCTGGCTTTGACTATGTCTCCAGCAGAACTGGCCTCTCTGGTGTCCATCACATGTGAAATGTCAGTACTTCACAGAACTACAGACTGCTTTGGGTTGAAATGTCAACAATCCTGTTCCACCCTCTGCCATGGGCAAGGACATCTTCCACTAGCTCAGGTTGCTCCAAGCCCTACCCAACCTGGCCTTGGACACTTCCAGGGACTCAGGGGTAGCCACAGCTTCTCTGGGCACCCTGTGCCAGGGCCTGAGCACCCTCACAGGGAAGAATTCCTTCCCAATATCCCATCTCACCCTGCCCTCTGGCAGTTTGGAGCCATTCCCCCTTGTCCTGTCCCTCCAGGCCCTTGTCCAAAGCTCTTCTCCAGCTCTCCTGGAGCCCTTTAGGCCCTGAAAGGGGCTCTGAGGTGTCCCTGGAGCTTTCTCCAAGTGACATCCCCACCTTTCCCAGTCTGGCTCCAGAGCAGAATGGCTCCTGCTCCTCCCCTCTCTGACAGAATCACTACAGCTGCAGGAAGGGGCTAAATAAAGACTCCTTGTAGCTTTACTGACCACCCAGCACTACCTGGGCATGATCCCATCTGGAGCACATCCAGCTGAGATGTCACAGGAGCAGCACAGCATCTTCTGCACGCTCACAGAGAAGGCAGTGGCTTCCCGAGCCCTCCATCCCTGCAGAAGCCCCACCTCACACCTCTGCAGCAGCCTCCTGACCCCCCCATCTCTGCAGGAGCTTCCAGAACCCCCACCACACATCTCTGTGGGGGAGAAGCAGGGCCTCTGCCAAGGGAGGCAGGTTTGGGTCTCCACAGCAGGGTGGTACCTGAGCCCTCTGTGCTGCAGCTCCCAACCCTAGCTGAGCCCGGGCTGTCTGCCCCCACACCAAGTGCCACCAGACCCCTCATCACAGCCACCACACAGCCCAGAGCTGTGTGAATCCTGCTACAGTCTAGAGGGGGTGAATTTTGGAGATGGCAAAGACTTAACTCCCCATCCCCACTTCAAAAACACCTTGTAAAACCGAGGGTGTGATGAACTGCAGAAAGCACTTAAGTTGATAAATGAGCCCAAGTCCTGCCCCAAAAAGGGATTTCTGCCTCTGCTGTGCTTCTCAGAACACTCCCCATCTCATTTTCTCAACCACAATGTTTGTAACTTTAGAAACCCCAGAACTCAATTCCCTGTGGAGTCCCTAACTCTGAGCTGCAGTGGGGCTGATCTGAGTCTGTCCCACCGGTCCAACAGGAGAATCACAGAAAGGGAGTGAAGAGTTTAGATGAAAACCAATTTAAACCTGGGCAGCTGCCAAACTGGAGGTTTAATGATCCACAAGCTGCTAAAAAAGCAGGGAGTAGGTGAAAAGCTGTTAATTACTTGGCACTGCTGGGCAGCCTGCTTGGAGAGGTGCCACCTGAAAGTACTGATAGGGGTTTTGAGAGGGCGAGCACGCATGTGGTG